TATATATATTATAAGCGGCCACTTTCCTTATAAAGTCAATAACTCAAGTCTTGTTTCATTTTCCAAACGGAAACCAAGCTCCAGTGGTGCAGTGGCACGAATCACATGTTCACAATAAAGATGGTCTCGATAGGCAGCAAAGTTTTAGAGCGGCAGTGGTTTGAAGAATTTGGTCGATCGAAGTATCCATATGTGTGAAAACTTGACTGGTCACTAAATGGTCATTACAAAGCTTTCTTATCCTATTTTTATTCGATTATAGGTTCATGTGTTGCAGTAAGGAATAAATATCATGTGCAAATGTCTTAACATAAAGAAAATAACAAAGGGGACCCAGGGAGGTAGGGTGGCCTCATATATAGTTATTCCCTTATTTTTTTAAAAGGGACTTCTTGCGATCGGCGACGTCTGCAAAAGGTCCACTCCATTGGAGGGGCATTGTTGTGGTCAGTTGCTAACAGTGCCCATTTAACAGCAATTTAGCTTACATAAATGCATTCAGAAAGCTTGGTTTATTGTTCTTGACTTCAATGCGATCTATCAATCAAGACTGGTTCCATCAGATTCGGTACAGTTTGAAGAAACTGGCCTGTCACTTATTGTAGGCCCCCTACTTCTTGACAGGGTGACCACCAGGCCCCGGGAATTTGAAAATAAAAAATCGCCGAGACCCGGGAATCTGTAAATTGCCCCGGGAATGACCCAGGGAAATAATTAATAATTAAAACCAAATCCGATAGGGTCAGTAAGTTCATTTTTACCAGTCGCGATTGAGTTAATATAAATTCGTTCGGTTTTTCCCCCGGTCTGATAACGAAACATTTGAGACGTGCAGGTTGTGAATTATAAACGCTGTGTCGCCCTTAAGATAAATCAATATTTGTGACCGCAGTCACTTATAAAAAAGAAAAAAAGAAAATAAAATCAAACGTCATAATATATTTCAGCTTGTCGGGCTCGCCAACGTGACCGGTCAGTGAACCTGCGCGCGTTCGCATCCCATGTCATCGGTGAGTACGTTTGCAGGGGTCACCAAAGTTCATTCAAAGCCTGAGCGTTGCGGAGTTTTGGACTCTGGTGTGAGGGGAGAATTATTGATTTTTTTAAAAGATACGCTCGGGTCGTTTGTGAAGGTGTCTGTCAAAGTTGTTCATTGTCGTCAATATGCAGCTAGAGCTGATCATCGTTAAGCTTTTTGTTTCGTTCTCACTAATCTCACCTGTTTCTCCCATGACTTCTTTGTTTGTTGCTTACTTTACCGAGTACTGAGATGGTAGATTAATCGTCTCTTTCGACACATGAAGGTCATAATTATTAGAGTTAGAGACGGCCGCTCCGGCCACAAACTCGGGAAATTGATGTGGGCCCAACGAGACTCGAACCCGGGATCTTCAACATACGAAGCGTGTGTCTTACCACTACGCTTCAGTGACTCCTGTTGTTTATAATTTTGTAACACTCTACTGTACACAGATGCGTGGTCATTTCGAAGACGGATGATCACTTGATCTCACAAGGAGACGCCGAGGGGGGGGGGGGGGGGGGGGGGGGGGAGGTCAACGACGAGGCCACCCTGCCCGCGCGTTTTCTTAAAAAACAACCGCCCCACAGTACACTACAAAGTCATGTTGGGAGGTCCTGGCCGCCTACATATCCCTATGTGATCGCATCACAATTCCTTGGCCGCATAATAAATGTATGTCCGCGATGACCGCATGAAGGTGCCCTGATCGCAAACTGGTCCCTTCACATGATGTTTTAGAATGATCATCCTTCTCGGCAATATGGTCGAGAATGCTCTAGACCATTATATATCTATTAACCAGAGGATGTGCAAGTTTGCAGGCCAATTTTTTAAATAGTTATTTCTATTCGTTTGGCTGTTAGAGCAAATTCAATTAATGAGAAATGGGCGCAAATAGCGCCTTTACTCTAGAGGTTACTGTGTTCGCCTCTCATTCAATAAGTCCAGGGTCCGATTCCGGATAGCGACGGATTTTTTTTTTCTCTCCAAAATTGTCTCCTTTCATCCCCTTTCCTGCTCTCTGGCAATGTTCTGTCATCTGCTTTCGCTTCCACTTTCTGTCCCCCCCCCCCACCCCTTGCCTCCTTTGCCCCCCTCCTCTGGGCTCCTAACTCTTTCTGCAGTCTTTCTACTGCTACTCCTGGGCTCCTAATTCTTACTAATGTCTTTCAGCCACACCCCTGATCTTATGGTAGGAAAGATCAATACCTAGATCTAGCCTTCTCGGACATGGGTGAAATATATCGGACGTCCCGTCAGCAAGTTGCGAACGTTAAAGATCCCTTGGTGGTCCAAAGTCGATAGGAGTATAGCCTTCTGCCGCCACTTGGGTAAAATTCAAAATATCCTACCCACTGAAAATAATGTGTTCCGCGCGCTCATATGACCTTATTATTCAATAATTGTGAGCACCGTAAAAACACTTACCAACAAAAAAAAAAAAAAAAAAAAAAAGAAGAAAAAGAAGAGGTATCACTGGAGCATAACATAGGCTTGCCAACAATAAATGGTTTTTTTGTAAGGAGGAGAGGAGAGATAAGGATGGTAAATATTTGTACAGAAAGAAGGAAAAAACCACCAACCACACCTGTCCAGAGTTAGCACACGCCAGCCACACTTGACTATTATTAACTACTACTACTACTACTACTACTACTACTACTACTACTACTACTACTACTACTACTACTACTACTACTACTACTGCTGCTACTACTACTGCTGCTGCTGCTGCTGCTGCTGCTGCTGCTGCTGCTGCTGCTATCAAAACAAAGCTACTAAATCATATTATGCAACTGTTCCTTATCATGTTTGTTGGGAAATTATTATTGATAAAGTCCAGGTGTAATAACTCAATAAATTCGTTATGTGCTATTTTTTTTCCTCGAGCTGTTTCCCATATTCGGAGACCTCGCTCCCTGGATCATGTAGCTTAAAAAAGGAAGATGAAAAGCAAAGCAAACTATTGTAATTGTAGAGACTTGACAGAACTCTTATTCCACACAAGGCGTTACATAATTAATGATCTCTCTCTCTCCCCCTCTCCCTCCCTCCCCCTCTTTCTCTCTTTCTCTCTCTCTCTCTCTCTCTCTCTCTCTCTCTCTCTCTCTCTCTCTCTCTCTCCCTCCCTCTTTCTTTCCCTCTCCCCCCCTCTCTCTCTCTGTCTCCCTCTCTGTCTCCCCCCCCCTCTCTCTCTCTCTCTCTCTCTCTCTCTCTCTCTCGATCTCTCTCTCTCTCTCTCTCGATCTCTCTCTCTCTCTCGATCTCTCTCTCTCTCTTTCTCTTCCTCTCTCCCTCTTTCTCTTTGGTTTTTATCTACCGTATTTCTTTTGTTGACAAGACTTAACAACAACGTGCGTGCAGACGTGAGCAAATTTCAAGCTAAGCCAGAGGCAATAAATAAACCACCTTCTTTGCGCTTGACCCGCCTCAAGTCGCACCATCAGTCACCTCTTAATTTCACTTTGTCTTTGTATTAATTTTCACTGCTCTGCTCTGCTGTGCCCGCTCTGCCTGCAGTTTGTTGCAGTGGTTTTTTTTGTTTTGTTTTTTCTTCTTTTTCCCATTGGGCTTCATTTGAGCCTTTTTTCATTTTTTGGGGGGTTTTACAACAAAAACATAACACCACAAGAGTCATAATCCACTCTGGGGCTCATTAGTGTCCCCCTCTTTCTCACACAGAGTCATTCGACAAATACACTTGCGGCTCATCCCCGTCCGCTTTTTCTTTCGTACCCCTTCCCCCCCCCCCATCTCCCACTCGCCTACACGTAAATGATTTTCTTTCATTCTCGTTCGTTCCATGTACACATTTCATTTAATAATTCATTTTATTTCGTTCATTCCTGAGCTGTGTTCTCTTACACTCGTCGCCTTTCGACCCCTGGGTTGTCGAGTCGTTTTTACTCTGTGCTCACAGAGTTAGTTGCAGTGTGGCCAGAGCCTAATGTAACAACCGCTTTGCATACACCAAAAACATTAGAAAGTTGATAAATTTTCCACAACACCAGACTTTAACGTACGAAAAAGAAACACGACGGGGCGAGATGGAAGATATTGAAGAATACCGGACCACTCGAATATTTGCGGCACGTGGAGACGTCAAGACAGCCCGGGGGGGGGGGGGGGGGTCTGCAAGCTTACGCTGAAATATAGGGGCTGGGTTTCAATGACTGGATCAAGATTTTAAAAAAAATCACATGTATTTTTGTTTGGTAACTGACCTGCAGAAGTGCCATTCAAAGTTTCGTTGGCATAGGTAAATTAATAAATGAGCTAGAATTTTTTTTAAACACAGTCAGACCAAAGTGAACAAGCTGTAAACTCTTTTCACAGTTCAGTGTTTTCTTCAAGGACAAGGGAGGTTTGGGGGGGGGGGGGGGGGTGAGTAAAATTCGGAGATCCAACCGCCAATCAGCAGACAGCTGCTACCTGACGAATACAGCTCAGTCTGCTCTCTCTCTCTCTCTCTTGCTTTGAGCAGAAACTGATCAGTTCGAAGCCAGCCTCTGCACAGTTTGGACGGAGGCTGTCTAGAAGTCAAGTTGGCCTGTGTGTGATTCAGTGATACAACGTTGGACACTGCCTTCCCGTCCCGTGTGACTGTTGACTGACTCAACGAAACGAGGCTTCCAGATTCCAGGTTCCAAATTATTATCTGCGCCAACTGTTCAGGTAGGCCTATGTTTTTTCTCTGTCGAGAACCCCCCCCCCCGACTGTATTGTTCTGATGCAAATATTATGTTGTGAAATAATTCTTTTGGCTTTTGAACCGTGTTCCAATTTATTATTGAGTCCTCACTCTTCGGCTCTCTCCGTTCCTCCTCATCGTTTCATTGCGCAGGCATGCTGAAAGGTCATTCATATTTCGGGGGGTGTTACGATTTACCTCTCATTCAATGGGTCCCGGGTTCAAATTCGGATGGCGACATGGGGGTGGGGAGGGGAGGGGGATTTTCTTTTCTCTAAATTGGTCTCCTTTCACCTCCTTTCCTGCTCTCAAGAATATTCTCCATTTTCTGGCACCCATTGACGAGCGCCGGATTACACTGAGTCGTGATACATATATCTTGGAAAACCATTTGTTCATTAGTTGAATAGAATTACAAAAATACCTATCAATGGATCTGGGTTCAATGTAAGTTTTCTTTTGAGTTTAGGTGAAAACGGAAAATGATTAAATATATTTAGAACTACTGACAGATTTTTATAAATCCTTCTGTCCTTTTAAACCAACAGTAAACAATTTTATAGCGACTCTTTTTATTTTCCAAAAAAAACAACTGTACACGTGAAAGAGGATATTCCTAATTGACACATGCGTTCATCACCAGGACCCCTCTGCTGAAGTGGAGGATGACCAGGAGTAAGACTCATGGATACCACGGCTGGACCATCGGCAGGAGGTATTTATCTGTGAAATATATCTTCAAACTTTTTTGTTTATGTCAGTAAATTTAGAAAAATACCTATCGATGGGCCTGTGTTCAATGTGAAAGTTTTCTTTTTGAGTATAGGTGAAAACGGAAAACGATAAAAGGTATTTACTAACTTTAGACCAACATTAAACAATTTTATAATCACTCTTTTAACTTTCTGAAACAAATAAATTGTGCAGATGAAAAAGGATATTCCTAATTAACACATGCCTTCATCACCAGGACCCCTCCGCTGAAGCGTAGGATGACCTGGAGGAGGACGCATGGATACCACGGTCGGACCATTGGCAGGAGGTATTTATCTGTGAAATATGTCTTCGAACTTTTTTTTTTTTATGTCAGTAAATTTAGAAAAATATCTATCGATGGGCCTGAGTTCAATGTGAAAGTTTTCTTTTTGAGTTTAGGTGAAAAAAGAAAATGATCAATTGTATTTACTGACAGATTTTTATAAATATCCTTCTGTTCTTTTAAACTAATTGTAAAGAATTTTATAGCGACTCTTTTTATTTTCCAAAAAAACCCAACTGTACATGTAAATGAGGATATTCCTGATTGACACGTCTTCATCACCAGGACCCCCCCGCTGAAGAGGAGGATGACCCGGAGGAGGACCCATGGATACCACGGCCGGACCATCGGCAGGAGGTATTTGTGTGTGAATGTGTGTCTGTAAACATAATTTGTTTATTATTTCAGTAAGTTTAAGAAAATACCTGCGTGTGTCTGACTTCAGTGTATAAGTTAAATTTTTGCATTTAGAAGGAAAATGATTAAAAGTATTCAGATTTTTCTAAATGTTCTAATTATAAACCAACAGTAAAGTTTTATAAGAACTCTTTATTTTCTGAAAAACCCCCCCCACCAACAAACTGTACAGATGAAAGAGGATATTCCTAATTGACACGTCTTCATCTCCAGGACCCCTACGCTGGAGTGGAAGATGCTGGAGGAAGACTCATGGATACTACGTCCAGACCATCGGCAGGAGGTATTTATCTGTGAAATATATCTTTGAACTTTTTTTGTTTGTCTGTAAATTTAGAAAAATACCTATCAATGGGCCTGAGTTCAATGTGAAAGTTTTCTTTTGGAGTTTAGGTGAAAATGGAAAAAGATAAAAGGTATTTACTAACTTTAGACCAACATTAAACAATTTTATAATGACTCTTTTAACTTTCTGAAACAATTAAACTGTGCAAATAAAAAAGGAGATTCCTAATTGACACTTGTCTTCATCAACAGGACCCCTCCGCTGGAGCTGAGGATGACTTTGGAGGATCCCATGGATACCACGGCCGGACCATCGGCAGGAGGTATTTGTCTGTGAAATATGTCTTGGAACTTTTCTTGTTTCTAATGTCAGTAACTTTAGAAAATACCTGCATGTGTCTGACTTCAATGTAAAAGTTACATTTTTGCATTTATAAGAAAAATGATTAAACATATTTACTTACAGATTTTTCTAAATGTTCTGACTTTTTAAACCAACGGTAAAGTTTTATTAGGACTCTTTACTTTCTGAAAAAAAAAATAACCAACAAACTGTACAGATGAAAGAGGATATTCCTAATTGACACGTCTTCATCACCAGGACCCCAATGACCTGAAGGAGGACCCATGGATACCACGGCCGGACTATCGACAGGAGGTATTTATCTGTGAAATATGTCTTGGAACTTTTGTTATGTCAGTAAATTTAGAAAAATACCTATCGATGGGCCTGTGTTCAATGTGAAAGTTTTTTTTGGACTTCAGATGAGAAGGGAAAAAAATAAAAGGTATTTACTAACTTTAGACCAACTTTAAACAATTTTATAATGACTCTTTATTTTCTGAAACATAATTAAACTTTGCATATGAAAAAGGATATTCCTAACTGACACATGTCTTTATCACCAGGACCACTCCGCTGAAGCAGAGGATGACCTGGAGCAGAATCCCATGGATACCACGGCCGGACCATCGGCAGGAGGTATATGTCTGTGAAGTGTGTCTTGAAACATAATTTATTTATTTCAATTATTTTTGGAAAATACATGTGTGTGTCTGACTTCAATGTAAAAGTTTAATTTTTGCATTTAGAAGGAAAACGATTAAACGTATTTACAGATTTTTCTAAATGTCCTAATGACTTTTGAAACCAACAGTAAAGTTTTATTAGGACTCTTCATTTTCTGAAACAAAAAAGAACCAACCTGTATAGATGAAAGAGGATATTCCTAATTGTCACATGTCTTCATCACCAGGACCCCTACGCTGGAGCTGAGGATGACTTTGGAGGATCCCATGGATACCACGGCCGGACCATTGGCAGGAGGTATTTGTCTGTGAAGTGTGTCTTTAAACATAATTAGTTAATTATGTCAATAAGTTTGGGAAAATACTTGTGTTATCTGAATTGAATGTAAAAATTTAATTTTTGCATTCAGGAGAAGGAAATTGATAAAACATATTTACAGATTTTTCTAAATGTCCTAATGACTTTGTAAACCAACAGTAAACAATTTTATAAGGAATCTTTATTTTCTTTAACGAAAAACACTGTACAGATGAAAGAGGATTTTCCTAATTGAAGCATGGCTTCATCACCAGGACCCCTACGCTGGAACGGAGGATGAGTTGGAGTAGGACCCATGGACACCACGGCCGGACCATCGGCAGGAGGTATTTATCTGTGAAATATGTCTTGGAACTTCTTTTGTTTTTGTCAGTAAATTTAGAAAAATACCTTTCGATGGGCCTGAGTTCAATGTGAAAGTTTTCTTTTTGACTTAAGCCGAGAAGGGAAAAAGATAAAAGGTATTTACTAACTTTAGACCAACATTAAACAATTTTATAACGACTCTTTTAACTTTCTGAAAAAAATGATTAAACTGTGCAGATGAAATTGAAACGTGTCTTCATCAACAGGACCCCTCCGCTGCAGCGGAGGATGACCCAGAGGAGGATCCCATGGATACTATGGCCGGACCATCGGCATGAGGTATTTGTCTTTGAAGTGTATCTTGAAACATAGTTTGTTTATTTTTTCAATAAGTTTTAGAAAATACCTGTGTGTGTCTGACTACAATGTAAAAGTATAATTTTTGCATTTAGGAGAAAGAAAATGATTAAACATATTTACTTACTGATTTTTCTAAATGTCCTATTGACTTTTTAAAGCAACAGTAAACAATTTCATAATGAGTCATGAGAGATGATCTGCCTCAAAAGGTATTTCTCTTTGCAATGTGTGTTCTTGATCTCCTGCTCAATATTGAGTCAATTTTTATAACTTTTTTTCCTGCATTGTGACTAGAAAACTACAAATATTTGCACCTGTGGCTCTCACTTTTAATTATAATTCTGATTTTTGGCATTAAGGCCTATCTCAAAAATGTGTTCGCTAGATCTATGACTTTTAAATTCACCTTTCTCATAAACCAATGCAGCTCTTGTACTAAATTGTAAGTGTAATTGTTACATTTAATCCTCTCTCCATGATGTGGATGATCGGCAAGGAAGATGTCCTCAAGGCCAGCGAATGGGTCAGCGTCACCGACACACTTGGGTGGTATACTCCACTGGAGGCAGCACTCGGCAAGTGATGTCGTTATTGTCTAGAGGGGTAACCAACACTGAGGTAGAGACGCGGGTAGAGGAGAACGTGAGAAGGGCGACGAAGCGTCTTCACAGATGGGTCAGTGCGGCGTGGGGTTTAATCCTGATGGGCTCTCTGCGCCCAAGTAAACGGAGTCACTCAGAGAAAGCAGTTTAGCGCCACCAGACCACGCCCAGCACGTGCATGGATTGAAAGCCACCACAGAAGCCCCAAACTGGATTTAGGGGACAGAGCGTCACACTGCCTTTCCTGTCACCGACTCGATGAGCACTCTCGAGGGGGTAAAGAGACCCATCCTGTGTGCAGACTGGACAGAGGTGATGCAAAGCAGCAGACTCACAAAGGCCGCATGGATCCCCAGCCCTGGTCATGTAGGAGTTTGAGGCTATAATGAACGTGCTGATAAGCTGGCCGGCAAGCTTATCAGCACGTTCGTTGCCTCCAACTCCTTATTGACCAGGGCTGGTGATCCAGGCAGCCTTTGTGAATCTGCTCCTTTGCATCAATTCTAGCCAGTCTGCATACTGCATGGGTTTCTTCACCTTTTCCAGGGTGCTCATTGAGTCGATGACAGGGATGGCAGTGTGGCGCTCAGTCGCCTAAATCCAGTTTGGGGCTTCTGTGGTGGCTTTCAATCCATGCACGTGCTGGGAGTGGTCTGGTGGTGCTAAACTGCTTTCTCTGTGTGACTCCGTTTACTCGAGCGCAGAGGGCCCATCAGGATTAAACCCCACGCCGCACTGAACCTTCTGTGAAGACGCCCCGTCACCCCTCTCGCGGTCGCCTCTATCAGCATCTCCACCTCGGTTTTGGCTGCCCCCTCCGGTCACTTATGACATTCTCTGCCTTGGGTTACTTCCATTCAAGTATGCTGCCCAAGTGATCGTCAAGACAGGAAGAAAGACTTCCCACCCGAGGACATCAGGAGGTATTTTCTTTTTAATTTCCTGCAATATTGCTCACTCAAAGTATGCATTAAATATTTTAGGTATTCCCGACAATTATTTTGAAAAATACTGATCCTTGATTTTTAACAGTCTAGCCAAAACAAAATCGAGATCTTTAATGTATATATATATATATATATATATATATATATGTATATATATATATGAGGTACTGTGGTGAAATCAGGCTGTCATGAAATACTAGGGATACCCCTGCCGGACCATCGGCAGGAAGTATTTGTAATATGTGAGGCATTGTGATTAGATCAGGTGCTCGTCAAAATAATGAAATCCGAGAAATCTGCATTTTTCGGCCAGATTGGATTTTTTTTGTTTTTGGGGTTATCACCTTTGTATGTCCTTTCAAAAACACTTTTACGTGCGGATTTTATTGGAAAACGTTGATTAGAGGCACAAAAAATATAAATTTGCTATTTCCCAAGAGTCTAAAACTTTTGTGGCCATTTTCTCGCTACTGTTACTTCTGAAACCAGGCGACACCACCTCCTTCAATCGCAAATATCTCGACTTCTACTCAAGATAAATTGATATTATTTCATAGAAAGCAAGGCAAATGAAAAACCTTTAAAATGATTCCGACAATTCCATATGACCAAAAATTGACGAGCGCCGGATTCCACTGAGTCTTGACACATGTCTTGGAAAACCATTTGTTCATTAGTTCAATAAATTTAGAAAAATACCTATCAATGGGATCTGAGTTCAATGTAAAAGTTGTTCTTTTTGAATTTAGGTGAAAAAAGAAAATGATCAAACGTATTTACTGACAGATTTTTCTAAATGTCCTAATGACTTTTTAAACCAACAGTAAACAATTTTATAGCAACTCTTTTTATTTTTAGATCTATGACTTTTAAATTCACCTTTCTCATAAACCAATGCAGCTCTTGTACTAAATTGTAAGTGTAATTGTTACATTTAATCCTCTCTCCATGATGTGGATGATCGGCAAGGAAGATGTCCTCAAGGCCAGCGAATGGGTCAGCGTCACCGACACACTTGGGTGGTATACTCCACTGGAGGCAGCACTCGGCAAGTGATGTCGTTATTGTCTAGAGGGGTAACCAAGGCAGAGGTAGAGACGCCGGTAGAGGAGAACGTGAGAAGGGCGACGAAGCGTCTTCACAGATGGGTCAGTGCGGCGTGGGGTTTAATCCTGATGGGCTCTCTGCGCCCAAGTAAACGGAGTCACTCAGAGAAAGCAGTTTAGCGCCACCAGACCACGCCCAGCACGTGCATGGATTGAAAGCCACCACAGAAGCCCCAAACTGGATTTAGGGGACAGAGCGTCACACTGCCTTTCCTGTCACCGACTCGATGAGCACTCTCGAAAAGGGGAAGAGACCCATGCTGTATGCAGATTGGCTAGAGGTGATGCAAAGCAGCAGACTCACAAAGGCCGCATGGATCCCCAGCCCTGGTCATGTAGGAGTTTGAGGCAATAATGAACGTGCTAAGCTGGCAGGTATGCTGCCCAAGTGTTCGTCAAGACCGGAAGAAAGACTTCCCACCCGAGGACCTCAGGAGGTATTTGCTTTTTAATGTCCTGCAATATTGCTCACTCAAAGAATTCATTAAATATTTGAGATATTCTCGACAATTATTTAAAAAAATACTGATCCTTGATTTTTAACAGTCTAGCCAAAACAAAATCGAGATCTTTAAATGTATATATATATATGAGGCATTGTGGTGAAATCAGGCTGTCATGAAATACTAGATCTAAAGATACTAAGAAAAATGGATATTATTTCATTAAAAAAAAAAGTAAATTGAAAAACCTTTAAAATGATTCCGACAATTCCATATGACCAAAAATTGACGAGCGCCGGATTCCACGGAGTTCTTATACATTTGTCTGACATGATTTATATAAATATCCTTCTGTCCTTTTAAGCCTTTAACCATTTTATACCGACTTTTTATTTTCCAAAAAAAAAACACCCCGAAACTGTACAGATGAAAGAGGATATTCCTAATTGACACATATGTCCCGTGCGCTCATATGACCTTATGCAGTTGCGAGCGCCGTAAAACCACTTATAAAAAACAAAAACAGGGTCCTTCTTTTTTTCCTTTTTCTCTGTAGTCATGTTTTATCATGTGCGCCAAGTGACCACTATGGCATCTACGTACTTGTTGTTTGCTCAAATTTAGTAACTCCAGAGAACTTATTTCTTTTCTCTCAGAAAGCTGCCTTGCCAACAGTTGACTGCCGCCCAAGAAGCAGCAGATACCCTGTTCAGACAAGGGTCTTCCGCTCACCCTGGAAGGTAGCATCCCCCTTCAGCACAGGACAACCAGCAAAAGGAGATTGTTCCTTTTTGCGTGGCGTGCAACACATATTTTACAGTCGGCACATCCTAATGGAATGTGTCGAATTTAATGATATACGTAAGAAATATTTTATATGTAAAGATATCAAAACCCTTTTTGACATTGTAGACCCTAGAAAAATTTAAGTTATGTAAAAGAAATAGGACTATTTAATAGAATATAAAAATATATAGTTATCGTTATCAGTGTATTTATACATACACTGAAATTGATATTGTATATACAAATGTAAATAAGTCTTTACCATATTTACAAAATTTTTCATAAATGTCTGTCCGTCCTTTTAGCATAATGAGAATAGTGTGACCGTGTGCGGTTGCGAGCTCCGAAAGACTCTTACTAAAACACGTCTAATTTTGTTGTGGTGAAACCTGTTGGGGCTTAAATGACCGAAATTGGGTCGATAGCGCTGTAAAACACCTACTCAATCAATCAATTTTTCAATCAGTCAGTCAAGAACTAAAGGGCAATTGCCAGCAATCTAGACTCCCGCCAACACGCAGCTACTCTTGAATGGACTTGTCTTTCCTCCGGATAACTACCACGGACAACATTAACAGCTGACCAGGCAGTTTTATTTCTCTTGCCTGAAATTATGTTGATAGTGCTGTAGAAACCTGTAAAGTCTCAAGAAAACAATGTTCCTTGTATAATGTCCAGCTGGAGACTTTGTAATGAAGCCACTTAGATACAAGGTCATTAATTTAAAATGATAAGACATTTTGTTCCTTACTTTCAGTACATAGTTTGGTGACATCAGATTATAAGGTCTAGGCACTTTTCTGGTCAAACAGGTGGAAAGAGCTGCCTGCTTTGGTGTGAGGTTGTTGGAGAGGATTTTGTATTCTGAAATGTTCCTTGCAGTTTGTTGGTGCTGTAAATATGTTTACTCACTTGATCATTAACAAATAAACCAGCACTGCCTACTTTTAGTTTGGCCTTTGACCAAACATTCTAATGCCACCAGTATTTTCGTGACCAGAAGTTTGTAATTGTGAAAAGTCTGAAGTCCTCAGTTTTGATAACATTGAAAGCACTTTTTGATGCTGCAAGTCATTTAAAAAAATGAATTGCAAGAACTTGACTCCCCCCCCCTATGTTATTGACCCTTTGGGGCTCTTTGACTTAGCTCTGACCCCTCTTGGTGACCATTTAGTGGGGCTTATTGACATAGCTACAGCCCCTCATTGTTGATCATTTAGAAGTTTACCTATAGTTCGACCCTCCGTTATTTACCCTCAGGACTCATGTCTTAACTCTAACACCTCTTGGTGACCCTAAAGAACTTAACTTTCATAACAACCTTCAGTTTGTTGTTAACCGTCAGGACTCGTGTCTTGACCTTTAGTCTGACCCCTCTCGGTGACCCTACAGAACTTGATCTTTAGTCATGTTTTTGCCCTTAGTCCGACCACATGTTGTTTTTACCTTTACTCCAACCCTATGTTGACGACCCTCAGGACTCATGTCTTGACCCTAGCTCTGACCTCTCTTGGTGACCCTACAGAACTATACCTTTAAAAATTCAGAGCCTTTAGAATAAAATTATGATATTTTGGAGAGAAAAATTTCTCATTTTTTGGCCAAAAAATCTGGAACACCTTGCCTCAGTATCTTGTAGAAACAGCAAATTTTGATAGGTTTAAGCGACTGCTCAAGACTCATTTGTTCAATTGTTAGTGTGTTAGTAAGTTCTGATTTTTTTATATACATGTACATATATATTTACATTTTTTTACTGTCCTTTCATGTATAGTTAATGTATGGTTGTGAAAGTTCTTCTTTATTATTTAGTAAAACTGGTTTTTCTTGCTTCTGTGAAAAATATTTTCTTGTGTGAATGATTATGTGCTCAAGAGCTTATACTAGTATGGGATAGAGCACTATATAAATGTCATATATTATTATCATTATTATTACCTTTAGTTCGACCCCATATTATTTACTCTCAAGACTTGTTTTGACTCAGGGTGAAAGGTAAAGAAACATTTGACAGAACCATTAAGAAAGCCAGCAAGATCTCTAGATACGATTTTACTAGAATTGATGAAATGTATAAGATCACAAGTATTAAAAAAAGATAGACTGCATTATAAACAACCCATAACATCCCCTTTCCACACAGGTTGTAAGATCATGCAGCGGCAAATATGTTCCTCTAAAAACAAAGAAAGAAAGATACAAATGAAGTGTCTTACCATCTAGCATTAGACTATTGTTAGAATAAACATCAATGTGAATTGCTTTTCGAGTATTTATCTCTATATAACTCGAAAGGTCTTGTTATTAAATTCCTGCATGTGGTTGAATGAAATGATGCATTTGATGTGATATGTACTGTCAGCTTTACTTTTCATACTGAATTTTAATGAGAGTAATATATAATTTAATTTTTATGTATACCTGCGTAAAATTTCGGTCCCGCACAGCCAAGAAAAATTTCCTTCTGGGACAATAAAGTGTTATCTTATCTTAGCTCCGACCCCTCTTGGTGATCATACAGAACTTTACTTTAACCTGCCCCACGTTGTTCTACCTCAGGACTCGTGTCTTGACTTAGCTGTAACCCTAAAAAACTTTACATATTAATCTGACCCACTTTGTTTTTACCTTTTAGTCTACCCCCACGTTGACCCTCGGGACTCATGTCTTGACTTAGCTCTGACTCCTCTTGGTGACCCTACAGAACTTTACCTTTATTCCAACCCCATGTTGTTGACCCTTTCTGAATCGTGCCTTGAATTTACCCAAACCCCTCGTTGTTGACTCTAAGACCTCATATAATGACTTACCTCTGACCTCATTGTTGACCCCTCGTTGTTGACTCTAAGACCTCATATAATGACTTACCTCTGACCTCATTGTTGACCCCTCAGAATATTCTTTAGTTTGTTTGTTTGAAGGAAAAGTTTGTGACCAGTGACAGAGGGCAAGATTGAAGATATAAAGACTTTCAGAACTGTCAATGATACGTATTAGGTATGTCAGTTTACCTGTCTTTATGCAAAATTGGACTTGTCAGAGCTGTGTAAAGTGCTCCTTTTTCCGGGAAGCTGAAAAATATATTGAATAAATTTGCTGTGTGGAATATATCCTACTGACTGTATTTTTGTTGTTGTATTTTTGGCTAGGTGTTCATTCCATTTTCATCGTGAGTGATTGAACAGCGCCACTATTAGCGGGTGCTCCGGTGTGGTTTGCTCCTTCTTTCCTATCAAACCTCTATCGTCCTTATCTCTCCTCCTTCTTTCCTATCAAACCTCTATCGTCCTTATCTCTCCCCCTTCTTTCCTATCAAACCTCTATCGTCCTTATCTCTCCTCCTTCTTTCCTATCAAACCTCTATCGTCCTTATCTCTCCTCCTTCTTTCCTATCAAACCTCTATCGTCCTTATCCCTCCTCCTTCTTTTTCGTGTATGTTACTCTCTTGAAACACTTCTAATCTTCGGCACTTATGTGACCTTATTGTGTTGCAAGTTCAGTAAAACTCGTACTAAAACTAAAAGTCCTACTTCTTTTCTTTCTCTCTCTTTCTTCTTTCTATCTGTCTCTCTCTCTCCCACATATAAGTAGTGTGTGTGGGTGGTGTGTGCTCTGGTGTGGTTTGCTTCTCCTTTCTTATCAAACATTTATCGTCCTGATCTCTCCTTTCTTTTTTGTTTGTTACTGTCTTGTAATACCTCTAATTTTCGGGTAGGTGGTAGGCGGGCGCTCTGGTGTGGTCTGCTTCTTCTTTCCTGTCAAACGTCTATCGTCCTTATCTCCCCTCCTTCTTTTTCATGTTTATTACTGTTGAGTGATACCTCTAATTTTCGGGTGGGTGGTTGGCAGGTGCTCTGGCGTGGTTTGCTTCTTCTTTCCCATTAAACGTCTATCGTCCTTATCTCTACGCCTTCTTTTTTGTTTGTTACTCTCTTGTAACACCTCTAATCTTCTGGCGCTCATATGACCTTATGCAGTTGCGAGCGCCATAAAACTCTTACTAAAACTAAGATCTTAGTGTCTGTTACTGTGCTTCTCTTCACTCAAAGTGAAAGTCCTTTTTCACCATCATTTTCATTGTCCTCATCAGTATTTCAAGCGTTTAAAAAAATATTTTAAGAGCATATCACTACTTGATTATTCCCAGTTAGTACAGTATGTGAACAGTAATTTCCCTTTTTTCCCCGGCACGTTGTACCTCACCACTGTCATAATCGGGGAAGGGGGGGGGTTATGATATTATTAGATATCGATAACCAATTTTATACTCAACCACTTGTCAAGGAAACCGTTAAATATGACTCAAAGTTTCGTTTCTGAGCAGATGATATCCAAATTTATAGTTTGGTTGAACAATGCTAACCAGCCTGCAGAGATGAACTTGTCCATCGTGCTGAAAACGTAGGCCTGTTGCCTCAGTGCATAATTGGATGAACAAATTGATGTTGAATTGTGAAGACACTGAAGTCATTTTGGAAGGCAGTGCAAAGTTTGTTAATGGGGTTGACCACGTTCACATGAAAATTGATGTTTGGGAAATTCCAATCTGTAGGATTCAAGAATCTCTTAACACAATATGACATTGACCATCAATAATTTATTGATCAATTAATTTATCCTTGTACAGATGCAGTTTTTAGCCTCTTTTTCCTGTTTGTGAATCTCTCAACACAGCGACTGCGATTTGCAACAGTCGGCACTCGAGGCAGTTATGGGAGGAAATGGCTGTGCTGTGAACGGTAATTTTTGTATCTAATATCAACGCACGCTGGTTGAAGTTTTCTATTCATGTAAAATTTTACATAACACAAAATAAGGGAGTGATATATTCAAAGTGTGTACTGAAGCCACCATATTATTATGATTAATTGCCCCGAGCTGACCCTGTCCGATTCACAATGGGCACCAGGTATTAGAGGGCAGCGGTTTGAAGACGAGGAAGAAATTAACAATTAATTTGGTAATAATAATAATAATAATAGATAGCATTTGTATACAGCAAATCCGCGCTCAACAGCAAACTCTATACGCTTTACACTATACTATTATTACCCCACCAGACCCCAGAACACTCCGAAACATTCTCA